TGTGTTTTCATCACGATGCAAAGCCACAGCAGAACCCTGCTTCTACTAGGAACAAAACTACTGCACAAAAAAACATTTCCATTTGGCCCAAAAAATTGTGAGTAAATGAGCCCCTTTGTGTCGCCATGGTTGTCATATAATCAGCAAAAGGTGCGGTGAAGAGTGAGGATTTAAACCTCAATTGAAAGTTTATGTTTATTACATTTGTAAATGTTGGTATTAAACCCTAAATTGTATGCAAATCCAAAAAGACAATATTTAAACCCTCTATGAGGCTTTTATTGCTGCAGAAATCCACCATTCTATTTGTCATAGTAGTCATTGACAATTGACAGAAATCAGTTGCTTAAAGCATATGTAAAGGTAAAACTTTTTGGGGGATACAGTTGGAGATGGTTAAAGAAGAACTCCGGGCATAATTATCTCAACCCTTGCAGTGGTGCTATCCCCGCACTCACAGGACCTTAGACCGCCAGAGTGGAGGTGGAGCAAGGCTTCAGGGGCCGGTCTAACAGCCAGCCTGAGGTTCAGGTGAGTATAAGACTTTTCTTTTTACTTTTGTCCCTAGATGAAAGCGAGCACTTAACCCTAGCAGTGTATGGGTAGCTCAACTGCAAGGTTTAAGAATAATTACGCCCGGAGTTCTTCTTTAACCTCCTTGGCGGTAATCCTGAGTGTGGCTCGGGGTTAATTTTCAGTACTATAAGCGGTAACCCCGAGCCACCCTCGGGATTACAGTGTAGCGTTACTTACCTTGTCCCTTGAGCCACGCTGTGTCCTTCGGCTAATGCTGGCATCCGTCTTCCGGGTTCCACCCCTTGCGAGCGTCCGCGTCGCAAGGGGGCGGAGCCTGCGGGAATTTTAAAAGTAAAAATAACGGAAATAAATAAATAAAACAAAAAAAATTAAATAATCAGACCGCCAGGGAGGTTAAGCATTCCCTACTCCACAACTAATGCCCCATTCACACTGAGCGCTTTGTAGCGCGATTTCCGTTCAAAGATGAAGCTCAATGTAGCTCTTCCAATGCATTTCAATGGAGATGTTCACATCTGCAGCTCAATGTTGCCTGTAGCTTGTAGCTGAAGCCTGTCGCTCGAACATGAGCTTTTTTTGGGGCGGATTTCAAGCAATTTGGCCCCAATAGACTTTGATAGACTGCCAAAAGAAGCTCTACGTAGCGCCACAAAAATGTGCACTGTAGCTCAATGTCGCTCAGCTCAAATCAGCGCTTATTTTGTTGTAGCTCAGTGCGAATGGGGTTAACAGTGTATGCATGCCTTTACATATGCTTTAAGCAACTGATTTCTGTCAGTTAATAATTAAAAAAAAATCTAGTACCCTCTAACGAGGACTATTACAGTTTCTGCACACAGAAGGATTTCACATTACTGACTCACAATCAGAAAAGTTAAAGTGCAAATCAAAGACTAAAATCATCCACCCACAATGTTTCATTAACTCTATGCAAGTATATTAAATATTCACACTTATTTGATATATTATTAATCTTCACCAGCGGGCGAGACAAAAAAAAAAAAAATCTCTCTGTTGATTTTCTCCATACACAGCATCTTTCATCTTCTTTTTGTTCCCCCAAAGCCTGAAAAAAAGTTTAAAAAAAAATTAGAATGGTTCCAGGAAGGAAGTTTATAGCAGTCTTGCATATAATTGTTATCATCACTAAAAAAAATGTTTTAAAACACTTCCCTTTCAGAGGGCTGAAATCATAGACATCCACAGACAGAAAAATAACAAAAACACACACACACACACACACAAAAATGACCTCAACTGCATTTTTTTAAGAGGACTTACAAACCAGATTACATAATATAGACCAGGGGTGGGCAAACTCCATCCCTCCAGTTGTGGTGAAACTACAAATCCCATAATGTATGTCTCTTGGAGTCATGCCTGTGGCTTTAAGAATCTTGCAATGCATCATGGGATTTGTAGTTCCTCAACAGCTGGAGAGCCGAAGTTTGCCCAGCCCTGGTGTAAATCAAAATCTCGCAGCCCATTCAGGGAAAAAAAGGACAAATGACAATCGGGAATTTACAAAAACCCGGAGCGGACAGAATCAGGAGCAGCTGTGTGCATTTTAAGCAATCGCTATCTAGCTTCAGCTTGTTCAGTTTAGCTTTGAAAATGAAAGCTAGAAGCTGATTGGTTGCCATGTTCAGCTGCTCCAGATTTTGCCTTCTCCCGTCCTAGTAAATTCCTCCCAATGTGTCCTGATATCTCATTTCTCCAGCAAGGTAACCATGCTCCCTTGTCGCCTCTTGGCTGTAAGAAATGTAAGTATACAGACTCTTCTTTTACAGGTTATTTTTTCTGTTTTGACCCTGCAGTGAGTCATTTTAATGCAGGGGTGTGGAATTCCTATCGCCCAACGCTGGAACGGCTGTCCAAAATCACTTGTAACCTGCCTGAATCTCACTTCCCTCCCCTCTCTCTATCTCCGGCGGCCATGTACCGCTCCCGGCTGCCTCTCTCGCTGCACGCTTGGTTCCTTTCTGCCGTGGTCTTCGGGGTCCCCCGCTCTTGTGGGAGACCTGGGGCAACCGGTGTATGCAACCGCACACAATCGCCCAAGTCTGCACCAGCCCCAAAGGGTAAATTCACTTTCCCAAGCTAGAATGCCGACTCTCTTTGGGTTTTAAAAAGGGGTGATATGTAACAGAAGCATTACAGCAGCAGCTAGACACATGAGAATGCCTTCCTTCTGCTTTACAGGGATCTGTAAATGAAACATTGTTTTCCAAGCACACTGACTTTTAAAACAGCAAATCCAGTTGTGGGTTCTGGTTGGTGGCCAGCTGAAAAGTGCAGTGACCTGTAATGACATGCAGTGTGTAGCAGCTTTTCTGGAAATGCTCATGCAGCTGAAACACTCACTCACTGACCATTATCTTCACTTTAGAGAAACATCACCGAGCTGTGGAAATCACTAATAGACACAAAAGCTCTCCTCGTATACAATACCTAAGCTAGTTGCAACCAGTCCACAGGCTGGAAAAAAAAAAAACCACTGACTATAGAATAAGTACATGACTAAATACAATTATAAAAATCCCTTCATCGAATGGGATGTCCAGAAAGCACTCTCAGCCATTAGAGTCAGCAGCGTGCCCTTGCGATCTTCACCTTTAGAACGCTGTGAGAACTTGCTTTACAATGCCATACAAACTATTTTTTTTTATTTTTTAAAGTGTGTAGAAAACAACGTTCAAAATAAGTGTATTGAGCAAGCTCCAGCACTGACATCTAGACATGAACTAGTTCATCTATGTACTCTTTCCCCCAATCATGGCCTGCTTTGGTCTGCAAAGTACAACCCTTCCAGAAAATCACTGCCCCAGCCCCCTCCAGCAAGTTCATACTGGCCCAATATCATGACGGGCAGGCTTACTAGCCATTGGGAATATGAATGAGGTGGGACAGCATGGGGCAGGAGATTGATACTACTAGGAAGTGTCAAACTCAGGAAGAGAGCGGTTAAAAGGAGAAGTATTGGGAGAGTAAAATGTACTCTCCCAAATACTTAGCGCCTACGTGCGACACTGCAGGTGTCACGCGGCGGCTCTATAGGTCGAGAGCCGAGCCATCACAAATTGCTGATCGCTCGGCTCACGGTTTTCTTCCTGCAGAAAACAGTAACCGTCAATCACCTCCCCTCTCGCTGTTCCTCCATCACTCATTGGAGGGACCGACAAAAGGAGGGGGTGGGCACAGCTGGCTCTGGAGAGGCAGAGCCAGCTATCAATCAGGCAATCGACATACCGACATCATCCATTGTCGGTATCTTTCCTGGCTGCAGAGCGGCTGTGCGCAGTCAGCAGTTTGGGTCACAGGAGCACATTAGTAATGTACTTCTTTGACCCAAAAGAAGACTAAAGCCAGGAAAAGGTTTGGGTTTAGTTATGTTTTAAAAGTATGTACAAGCAGCACTTGGTGCCTGCATTGCAGTGCTTGAGCATATTCAGTTCCCTTAGTGTACTGACAGGTATACTTTAGGCATTCTGGACAAATGATCTAACACAGGGTTAATAGAAGCACAGTATGCTTAGGAGCTGAATTGCTATATGCTAATACAGCTCCAAGGTGACAGAGGGGTACCCAGGGAAAATGCAGAAGTCAATAAGGTCCGTGTATAATGCATAATAATCATTACAGACGAGCATTATTTCCACAAATCTCCTGCACTGGCGAGTGCCTGGAATGGGTCTGCAGTAGTCTGAACAAGTCTTAGAGGTAGCGTTTCTTTTCAAAACGTAATTCTTTGTTTGGGACAACAGTCAAATTCAAAAGCTCTGGGAGAGGATTACATTGTGCTTACATGTGTTGGTTTCAAGCCCATTGACGTCAAAGTCTATGTAAACCCCAACAATGAACTTCTCTTAGTAGCTTCCTTTTGGTTTGTTAAACCATACCATTAAAAGTAGTATGCGAACAGACCACACTATCCAGAGAATACCATTACTTAAGACTTTATTGAAATTCACAGCAAATCCAGTATAACAGTGAATTAAAGTGTATAAAGCAGCAAATACCCGCAAACCCCCAACCTCTAGGAATAAGCCTACGGGTGAAACATGGGAGAGATTGTAGCTGGTTGGGGGTTTGCGGTGCTGGTATTTGCTGCTTTATACACTTTGATTCACTGTTATACTGGATTTGCTGTGAATTTCAATAAAGTCTGAAGTATTGGAATTCTCTGGATAGTGTGGTCTGTTCGTATACTACTACATTCCAAGGTGGGGACGCACCTATTAAACCGGCACCTGGGGAGTCCTGATGTCGGCTAAGGAATTGGAGCGGTGAGATTTCCTTTGGCTCTACATACCATTAAAAGTGTTTTTTTTTATATCTGTTCGATAAGTGTAAAAAAAATAAAAAAAAATAAAAATTTGCAGCTATTCCTTTCAGATGTCTAGTGCACTATGCACTGTTATCCCAATCAGTCTTATCAAACCTGCACAGGCTACGTGTGAACTACAGAACACCTCTATGTTATGGGAGGAAGGAGGTGTTCTGTAGCCCCAACACTTTCTGTCCTAAGGTGACAACTCTGCTCCTCCACAGATACAGCACAGCGAATGAGCATGGTCACCCTAGGACAGGATCACCAAAGAAAAAAAAAAAAAAGCCAAAAAAATCTAAGGACTGGTAAGCTGCAAGATATTCATTTTTTGTTCTAGGGTTACGATTGAACTGGAAAGTCTCATTAAGTGGCTGTGTAGGTGGCATATGTTTTTATCTTTGAATAGCAATCCTACCTGATGCGGTTCTCACACCAGAACTTTGTGAAGAACTGAATGTAGATCCAGAGAAAGAGGGTGCACTCCATGTGTTATGATAAGGTGAAGAAGCTGTATAGTGAGGCTGTGACCTGGGAAAAAAAAGTAAGAATACCATCAGAAATTGCCACCCTGAATGTGCTATCACCCCGTAACCTTATTGGTTTAAAAGCGCACTAAACTATCCAAAAAACCCACATGTATGATCCCTTCATTAACAAATTGCAGACCAAGTGCACACTGCTCTACAGAACTCCAGTTTTGTCTTACAATGCTCCCTCTGCTTGCCATGGTGTGGCAGGTGTAGCCTTAAGGTGCCCAAACACTTTAAAACCCTAATGGTTGTAAAGTAATTAAAAAAAACGTAAGATCTGCCCATCTTGGAGAGGCAGATCGTACTTGCGATCATCGCAAGCCCGATGACTGCAATGCTAAACGGGCAGTGTGCGCGTGCGCACACCGGCCCGTTCAGCAGTCATCTCTCAATCATGTTAAAAACCAGCCGAAAATCATACGATTCTCGGCTGGTTTTCCAACATGCTCGAAATACAAAAGTCGTGCGACCGTACATTAGAAACGGTCGCACGCCTTCAATACACTGCACGATTATCGTACGATCGCGGGATTTCCCGTGATTCTCGTACGAGCATCGTGCGGTGTTTGGGCACCTTTATAGCAAATAAGTGTGTAGGAGCCTTTGGCAGGTTTTCCTGATTTCATAATTCGTATATTATATTTAGACTGATTTCTTAAAGGAGCAGAGATTCTCCACTCCATGATCTGTAGTGTATTGTGTTCACTTTTAAATCAAGTGCAGAAGAAATACACAGGAATTTGCTTTTCCCATGATTGGAACATTCAAGTGAATCTTCACGCAATTTGTTGATTTGTCGAGTGAAGAGTCTCAATTCCTTTAGTAAAATCATCAGTATTGTGAGCATCAGCCTATAGAATGTGACATTACATTGCAATTAGCTACAGTTGTTAAGAGTAGCTATCTACAACAAGTTTGTTACGTTATAGTTATCTGCATTAAACGTGTCTTTTTTTCAACCTGGCTAACTATGCAACTCCATTGACAACCTATAGGAGAAATAAATAATACTAATAATAAATAGAAAATGCTCCATAATCAGGACCTTGTGCTCATAGTTACCCAGAGTTGAATCAGAGGGAAAAAAAAAAACCTAAAGCATGGTTTAACTTGCTCCAACAAGGAAAAAAAAATATTTCCTGATAACCTAAGGCAATTGGATATTCCCTGGATGAACAATCTCTGGTGGTATTACATATAAATGTTAATATCCAGTTATATTATCGCGGTATACTGAGACCGCTGCAGCCGGGAAGGATCCCGACATTACTGAGGAGATCCACCCAGTTGCGTGAGTGACAGCTGGCTCTGCCTATCCAGAGGCAGAGCCAGCTGTACCCGCCCCCTCCCTCGTCTGTTTCTCCACTCAGTGCAGGAGGATCGGAGCGGGGGGGAATCCCTGCAGGGAGCCGTGACTGACAGTCACTGTTCTCTGCAGGGACATGATCAAGAAATGAGAGAGCGACGGTATGCGATCACTCACTTCCCGATCTATTGAGCTGATGTGTGACAGTTTCAGTGTCACATGTCAGCTCGAACTATGAGGACGAGTGAATTTCACTCGCCTCATAGTTCTCCTTTAAGTCTAAATGCGGTTTATAAAAATCACGGACTTTAAGCGATTAAAAAAGAAGAGGAAATTTAATTTTAACTCTTGCAATGGGGCTATCCTGCACTGTAAGGGTTTACTGCTCATTTTGGTCTAGGGAGAAAAAAAAAAAAGTTATGCACTCGACCGGATTCTAACCGGATCCTCTCTCCCCCTCCGATGCTGCGATCTAAGGATTGCGGGGACGCATGATCAGGGTGAGCTGTGCACTTCGTGTTCACAGCCGCAATCTAAGGTCCCCGAGTCATCATGCTCTATACACGGTGTATAGGACATGAGGACGCCGAGGGCCATATCATCACTGCAGTGGAGGAGGAGACAGGCTGGAGGGAGTGCTGTGACAGCTGGCCAGCTTAGAGGATCGGGTGAATATAGCTTTGTTACTTTCCTCTCTAGACCAAAACAAGCACTTAACCCTTGCAGTGCGGGGTTAGCCCTATTGCAAGGGTTGATAATCATTTTCCCTGGAGTTCTGCTTTAACACAAGCTCGTAGCTGCTGCTGGATCCTTCTTTTATAACCTCTCACAAAAATTGAGGATTATATTGTTTGTGTGCACTAAAATTAATCTCAGTGAATTATTTCCTGGAAAGATCTGTTATAAACAACTGTGCAACATTAAAAAAAAAAAAAAAGTTGCAGCTGCTACCATTTTATTCTACAGGGCCTCTGCTTTAACAAAAATCTATAATAGTTTGTGGGTTTTAAGTAATTTTCTAGCAAAAAAATGCAGATTTTAACACATATGTAAATAATTAATAAAATTACTCGAAGCGGAAGTGGTTAATAAATATTTTATTGTTATAAAGAGCCCTTATTTGATTTGTAAATAATGTACATCATTTTAGTGTCATGATAAAGGAACCAAATTGCAGAATAAAATGTGTGCTTTGTACCTAGTAATTCTAGTTGTTATTAAACTGTGAAAAGGTAAAACTTAAAACTGCAGATCCAGAATGCAAACTATAACTAAGGCTCTAGGGCAGGGGTAGCCATACTTTGGTCCTCCAGCTGTGGTAAAACTACAAAACCCATAAGGCACCGCAAGACTGACAGCCACTGGAATGACTCCCAGAGGCAGAGGCAAAGCTCGACTACCCCTGCTCTAAGGTCATCATCGCCATTTTTGCCAAAAGTATAAATCAGAATACATTCTAGTCCATTATACTTCATATGACAACTATCCGCTAAAAAAACCACTTACCTCCGATTGCCAAACAGATATCCCAATACACCACCAGTTCCTAAACCAGTCCAAAATCCAGGTCCTTGTGTTGCTTGGCTCCCATAGGAAGACGGTTTACTAAAACCTCCAAATCCAGACGTATTTCCTGAGAAGAGATAAAAGAAAAAAAAAAAAAAAAAAAAAAAAAAGAAAAGATTTAATGCAATTTATGTGCCACCGAATACATATTCTCAAAAGTGGCTCAGTGATTAGCACTCCTGCCTTGCAGACATGAGGACGCACATTTAAATGCAGGGTTCAGCCAGGACACTATATAAATATTTGGTAACAAATATTATTGACAGGGCATCCATCATTTTCCTTGCTTTAAAGGGATACTAGTCACCAATAGGCAACTGTAATAATCGGAACCTCAGTTCAGTAGAACACTACAGCCTTTTTTATTATACATTTGTAGACTTTTATTGCCAGGCTGTAAAACCTTCTCATTTCCTGCCTAAGCTCAGTTTTGAAAGCAGACATTTAAGCAACAGTAAAATAACAAAGATGCCTAAAAAAAGCTTTGCCCAATGTACAACTGGGCGAATGCCCTTTGCACAGCATTACTGCCACTGGATGGGCATAAGAAATTCCTCTGCTTCTCAGCTCCATCTAGTGGCAGGAATGCTGTGCAAACAGCATCGCCCCAGCTGTAACCTGGATGAAGCTTTTTTTTTTTAATCAGCCCTAATTGTCCCTAAGTGGTAGACTGAAAAATTGACATTTTATTCGATATGCTTCCAGAAAAATAGCACTGCACTTCCTGGTATAGGATGGTGCCCAGACACTCCTGTACCTACAGCCTTATAGCTGTATATATGCAGTGCAAGATCTAAGGCACTGCTGTGTCTGACTGCTAGTCTCAGGAGGTTTAGAGTGAAATTTGCCAGACTCACTTACAACCTTCCCCTCAAGCCTGCCGAATGTAATTTCAGTTTGACTTTAATGTAGATAAACTATGAAAATTATGCTACTAGTAGGGATGCACTGAAATTAAATTGTTAAACTGAAACCGAAAATTAATGGGTTTTTTTCTCCAACCTGTTGAACATTTTTTACTTTACTGTTAGGGGCTTTGGGGAAATATTAGGGGTCTAAACAGACCCCTGATATTTCTCTTTTAAAGTAGAAAAAGTGATTGAGAGAAATACACAGAGTCCTAGATCTCTTTTTTTGCAGCCCCTGTTATGAATGAATAGGAAGCCTCTATTCTGAGTGCTCCTGTCCATTCATAAACTGTGGATATAATATGAGTTAATATGTCCACAATTATGAATGAACAGGAAGTGATGTAGAGCACTTCCTGTTCATTCATAACTGGGAACACAGAAAGCATACTATGTCCTCAGTTATTTACAAACACTCAGGGATCAGCCCTCCTCCGCTCTCCATCCTGACTAAAGAAGAACTCCAGGAAAATAAAAAAAATTAAAAAAAACAACTTACCCTTGTAGAGGGGCTACCCCATCACTGCAATGGTTAAAAGGAGAACTATGAGGTGAGTGATTTCCACTCATCCTCATAGTTAGAGCCGACCTGTAACAAAGAAGCTGTCAGAGCTCGGCTCTATTGTTGATCAGGAAGTGAGCAGAAACATGCACCGATCTGCTCACTTCCCAATCGTCTCCCTGCAGTGAGCGGTGACTGTCAGTGACCACTCCCCGCAGGGATTCTCCTTTCCCTCTCTGATCCTCCAGCGCTGAGTGGAGGAACGAATGGGGGAGGGGGCAGGCACAGCTGGCTCTGCCTCTAGATACGCAGAGCCAGCTGTCACTCACGCAGCTGGGTGGATCTCAACACTATTGTCAGGATCTGTCCAGGCTGCGGCGGTCTCAGTATATCGCAGGCAATAGCCCGCTATATACTGAGCTTTGGGTGACAGGAGGAGGTTAGTATATGTCCCCCCGTGACCATAAAGAGAACTATGGGAAAAAACACTTACCCCATACTTCTCTTTAGAGGCTGAGTGAAAATCACTCGCCTCATAATTCTCCTTTAAGTTCTCGTTTTGTCTACGGGGCTCAAATAAAGCAGTTTTACTCCCCTGATCCTCAATCCCACAGAACTCAGCTGTCACCTCTCTCCCCTCTGCTTTGATGATGTCAGCGGTCCTTAGACCACCATAGCCCAGTGGAGAAGAGGCTGCAGGGCCCGGTCTAGCATCCCAGAGTGAGCCAGTGGGACAATGGGTCAGATAAATAAATCTGCTTTATAGGGCCCCCCGTAGACAAAAAGAGCACTTAACCTTTGCAGTGCGGGGGTAACCCCACTATGTTTCTGATTTTCCCGGAGTCCCACTTTAATAATGACATTTTATTTTTTGATCTGATGCTTATTCCGATCCCCATTAGAAATGTTTTTCTGATTACTTTTTTGATAACTGGACTCATACTTTTTCTAGGATTGACAAGATACATAGGACCCTGTGTTTAAGATAGTATGTAATCTATGTGGGTTTCTTAACTAATTTTAGAAGTATAGTATTTTGCTATACAGACAGATTAAGGTTAATAATACAATTCAATATTATTAAGACTATATACATGAGAAGTATTTGCCCTCCCTGACTTGAAAATCTTCCTTTTTTTGTTTTCCATTTTATAATGTTCTAGGAATATTGTGCATTATAGCTTTTCAGTTACATAAAATTCAAACCATGTGTGGTGATAATTTTATCCTTTGCTCTTTATACTCTAATTGTATCACACACTTATGAGAAAGTATACCCTGCATAAATGGTGCTGATCTGGTAGAAAAATATGAAAGTATGATAATATACTGGTAAGCTTTATTAGTTGCAGGCTAAGCCATACTAAACCAATCAAGTAATGTGTATCTACTCTGAAAGTGATCTATAAATGAAAGACTTTGTAATTACCTGTAAAGTCCGACTTAAAACCAGGTGGTGGAGGAGGTGCGTTAGCATGGCTGTAATGTTGGTCATCATGTCCATCATAATTAGGTGGATGTTGCTCTTGCTGCATAGGAGGTGTGCTCAGGAATAGTTTGTACACCCCATAGGCCAGACCCAGCAGTACCAGAAAGACAATTACTCCACTCCCATCATAGGGTGACTGGGAATTCCAGCTTTTTGAGTATCCCGAGCCACCAAAGCTGTTGCCATTTTGAGATCTCTTTCGGCCTTCTTCTGTAAGTTCCAGTGTGTACTCCAAACCACACGATCCGCTCAGGACATATGGATCATTGGGATAATCGAAACCCTCACAGCTCACTTCAATTTTCCCAAATCGGTAAGCATTATCCATGTCCACCTTACACTCCCACTAGAAATGTAACAAGTCTCAATTAGCAAAGGCAAAACTCTGTACGTGTTTCAAAGTTATCCTCAGGATTACAGAAAAAAACATGGAAGTGAACCAGCCATATACAGAAAGTAGCAAGGTCATGCCTATGAACGAACTACTATTTATGTGCAATTATACACTTTTATATGGAGTTCAGATTTAAAGCAAACATATTATAGGTCAGCCAAGCTTTTTATTTTTTTTTTGGAATTAGATCTCTTCAGGTTTTTACTGCTATCTTGGGCTCTGTTGTAGAGATTTTTTCCCTCCCTTTCTGTCATGGTGACAAAAGTGTCATCAGACAAGGACAGCAATAAAAAGCTTACAGGGGGTTCTAGTCTTCCCTTACACCAGTGATTCTCAACCACCACGCCATGGCCAGTACCAGGATGCAGAAAAAATGAGGACAGAAGCGCTACTACCATAAGGTGACTTAGTATAACATGAAAATCGGAATTGAGGCAAATGACAACTTACCATGAAGTGAGTGGTGATGCGATATCATCGACGAGGGGTGGATTGATGGGAATCCTTCAATAATGGGAATGGTGTGCGCTCTCTTATGTGTGTGAACAGATATGGGGTAAGGCGAGGCTCTCCTTCCACAGCATTAGCTGATACTAACTATACAGTGGGATATCATACAGCACTAGAAAGCAGCAGCATTGTTAAAGTTACATAGTTACATAGTATTTGAGGTTGAATAAAGACATTAGTCCATCAAGTCCAACCTATTAGGATCTCATTCTAGGAGTACCCGTACCCCTGAGAAAAAGTATATTATGTAGCAGTAAAGCACACCAAAGCAAGGCAGCACAATAAGAGACTGATATTTAGGTTTAATATAAAACCTACCTGGACATCAATGCCATCCCACCCTCTGTTGTGGCACTGTACCACCTGTGGGGTCATAGCGCTACAGCCAGCATTGCCGCCAATACATTTCAACTGAGGAATAGGGGATGAGCGTCGTGCGTTAGTGTATCTGTCTGAATAAAGTGTGATCGCCTGAATATCCTTCAGCAAGACTCTATCTGCAAGAAAAAACAAGAATGACTTATTCATTTTTTTTTGTACCTAAGATATAAACAACGTACAATAGGTTATGATAGTAAAATGAGCTGAGCTAGACCTTTGGCTGCCATCTTGTAACACTACTGAACAATCTATCCAATTTGTATTAAATCAGGCAGGCCCTTGCACTATATAAATAGATGATAGCAGATCTATAAGAGATTGTACAGTTGTACAGTGCAGGGTTAGGCCATACACTGCACAACTTATCAAAAATTGAGCAGTGTGTGTACCCCCCCGCCCCCCTATTCCTTCAATAGACAAAAGCCGATTTTTCAGTTGACTTTAGTCAAAGGAGTCGGGTGTAGCCATTAGCTGCAACTCATTCAGCCCGCAGGGCTGCACAACAAAAAAAATTACTTGTGTATGGCCAGCTTTACAGTCACCCTATATTGAAGCAGAACAGTAACCTATGTACAGTAATGCTTTGGCCTGATGGGCATCATCAGCCTGGAGGTACTGGTCATTATGCTATGCAACACAGCAGTTACTTCTAGGGTACAAAGGGAGGCTTTAAACGAAACATGCCATGAAAGAAGCCAGGAGGGTACCATTGCTGACCATTCCTTCTAAAAAAAAAGGTAGTTGCCTGGCTGTCATGCTGATACAATGCTTCCTGATTCCCCGACCTGTAACAAGTATAGATATAATGAATTCTGACACCCATGCTCAGTATTCTTGTTCAGGAACTGTGAATGAAAAAGTATTGATTCCAGAGACAGCAAAACAACTAACAAGGCCAATGACAGATCCGATAGTTCTCTTTATAGGGTCACATTAAAGAACTCTGGGGAAAATAATTGATTAACCTTTACAGTGGGTCTACTCCCACACTTCAAGTGTTAGCTGCTTGTTTGTGTCTTGGTACTAAACAAAGAAAGTTATATTGACACAATCATTCGAGCCGGCTTGTTATTAGAGCGGCTTGTACTTCGACCAGTCCCTAGATCCTCTCTCCCCTCCTCTGCAGCGTTCTAAGAATCCTTCTGCCATCACATTCTATACAAGTGTATGGACGTGAGGACGCCGAGGAACATATCATCTGTGCAGCAGAGAGGAGGCACACTTCAGTGGCAGGAGAAGCAGGGAGTGAGCTGGGCAGTTCTGGTGAGTATAACTTTTTTTAAGCACCTAGACAAAAGCGAGCAGTTAACCCGTGCAGTGCGGGGAGTAGCACCAATGCAAGAGTTAATAAAAGTTTTCCCTGGAGTTCTTCAATAAGGCAATTTTTCCCTGGCAACAAAAGTAAAAAAAACGTTTTGATTTATATCGATAAATTCTGTGCTTCAGCAGTCACAGCTGGCTTCATACTACCTAAGAAAAAGAGAAAAGCAAAATACTTTGCTGAGCTTCAAGTGAGAACATCAAACATACATGGACGCACATTAGCAAGCTTTTTCATCTCTGGGTTAATCAGGACAGAGAGGGTCACTAAGAACCCTGCTTCTTTGCCCATACATATAGTGCTCCATGTGTTAGGTAGGTGAAGAGCTGGCCATACACTATACAATCTGATGGTACAAGCTCCTTAAGACTTACCAACACTTTAAAACTTTTTGATATGAGGACTAGGGATGTGCTGGGCTTGGTTTGAACCAAGTTTGCCCAAGCAAAACTGTCATTGACCCCCCACAGCTCAATCTGTTATGGCAGGGGCATTTCCCACCCCTTTGTGAAATGTACTTGCAACAACTGATTGGGCCGGGAGGGAGGTGTGTCAGTCACAGTTTTGCACGGGCTTGAGCAAATTTGATTCGCACCAAGACCCGGAACATAATGTAATTTGTCGTATGTCCTATTCAGTCAGTTCACACAGGGGCGTCCTGAGGCCGGGTGTCACCCGGAGCGGTTGCCGGGTGACACCCCGCGCATGTGCAATGACATCATTGTGCATGCGCGACGATCTCATTGATACCTGCCGGCGGTCATCTTGGTGATGGACGCCAGCAGAGAGAGAACAGTCACCCGGCAGGATAAGGTATGCCGTCGGGTCCCCTCCTCTCTCCCGAAACTGTTGAAATGACTGTCAGTCATAGAATGCAGTGGGGTGGTGTGCAATGAAAGAAAATACAACATGCACTACTCTTTTTTTTGCACCTTGATTCAGTGAACACGACTAAATGAGATGTCACATTGTGACATTTCAATAAAGTAAAGAAAAAAGTAAACAGTGCACACCAGTGGAAGTGTGTTGGTGTGAACAGGCCCTAAACAATCAATTTTGTGTCAAATCAGGTCGGCCCTCACACTACACTGTTGATGGTGATCTAAAGAAGATCATATAATCAAATTGTATAATGTATGATCAGCTTCACAGGTTCTCTTTAAAAGATAATAATGCAAAAGCAATGTATTAAAAGTGACAGATCAATACAAATGAGTGTAACAAAGCTTAATATAATAAGTCAGCAATGAGCCCCACTAATGTTACCATTTTGGCTCCAGCCCTGGACACCCGATAGCTGCACCACGGCCAGCAGACACAGGAAGGATACTACAGCCACAGGTGACATCTCCACCACGAAGCGATCAGTCACAGGATGATGTGATCTCCACCAATCTCCTTTTAATATGAGTACACACACTAACCGGCCGATGTTATTATTGATGTCGCATTACAATGAGTTTCATCATTCAGGTTGAAGTCTTCCTGTTCCTTCTACCTGTCTTGCAGCGATTGGCTGAACGTAGAGCCGGGGGCGGAGACTCGCCATGACAGGTTGTCACTAGGTATGTTGCTAATAAAGCTAGGCGAGAACAGGAAATTGAGGCTCAGTGGGCGTGTTTGCAGGTTTTCCGGCGGAAGTGGTGTGGTACATGTCAACACAGGCTCCGCTGGGAAGCCGATAATAGGTGTGAAAGTGACCGGAGATAAGTGGCAGCTGTATGCAGGCGATACCTATGTGTGACGGCTGAGGAAAGACACACGGTGCACTGAAAGCCAGGAGACTCCTCTACACCAGCCTCTGCGCTGCTGACACACACTCTCCTCAATGGCTGGGATCAAAGGTAATAGAGTGCATACACACACATATATGTATGGCTGCTGTAGTAGTTTACTGCCTTCCCTGGGCTTAACATTGCAGTTATGTCAGGTGCTTGTATGTGGCTTTCCTGCTTTGGCCTCATGTGATACTTAGTGTAAGCCCATGCTTTTCCCATTCAGGCTAAGCAATGTGCTTGTTTTAATCCTCCCCCTTCCCAAGAGGCAGTAGTAATAGGAGAAAAAAAAAAAATATTCAGCACTTCAGGGTATGCACAAGCATATGACCCGCCCCATGTGACAGTGCCTGTCCTATCAGCGTGATCCCATAGGGAGCCTGTAGTCCTGTGTAGGCTACACTTCTAGCTTGCATGGGGGTTTCTTTACCTTTTGACAGCTGAACGGAGTGATATTGGGAGCAATTGCAGGGCAAGTATATGCTGCTGGAGAGATCTGCAGCAAAGTAAAGTTTGCGCAGCGCAAACAGGTTCGTGTTATTATTTATAAGGGTACTTCATGATATATTGTATTATATGACATTAAATAATGCATGGTAAGGTGTCATTATAGCCCACACCTTTTTTTTTTTCTTTAGCCTTTGATTTATTGAATTATTGGGCAAGCTTTTGAAAACTATTAATTTTCTATGTGGCTGATATTTTATCTCACCAATAACTTGCAATATCCACTCTAAAGGAACAATTGAAGCTATGGTTTAAAGTGGACCTTCCATGCTAAACTGAAGTTTTGCTTTTTTGCAAGCCCCCTGCCTCCCCAACACAAAAAGCTTTAATGCTCTCCTGCCGGTGTAACCTATATATGCGGCAGCACAGTAGGTAGATCTTAGTGGGTAGTGACCCTAAACTCAGGAATTCTTAAAAATGCATTCAAGTACCTTTTTTAAAATGGACCTTTACTCATATCTTTAAAATAATAACAAACACACCTTTAGAAATGATTAGTAATGACAATCTACAAACACATACTTCTAGATAATTGCCGGCTTTGTATTCTTTGCACACCTTATTTCTCTTTTCTTCCCCAGTCTTTTGGCAGTGACCATGTTCATTAATGGCAGATTACTAGATCTCCATTTACTTCCTGGATTTCTGGCACATGTGACCAGAACATGTGACCATGCACATCATCTCAGGGGAGGAAAATGTCTTTCCCTGAGATCTTGTGAGATTACAGATGAGATTTTCCACTAATGCTCTGCTGATGACAAGGCAATCCCAGTGTGCATTGCTTTGGAAAACTGAAGTCATTTTGCCCTTTCAAAGCAGAAAGTAAATGCTCTGCAAGTGTAAGTATTTCAGAATCGCAGCATTTTACACCTGACATGTCTGTTATTATTAATCATCATACATAGAGGGATGCATTGGTAGAATTTGATTTTTGAGTGTAAAGGTCCACTTTAACTTAAAACAAAAATGTATCTTATTTGTGTATCACTTGGCTGTAGATCCTAAAATCATCTCTGAATTCATGCTGACACTGTCCTTGCTTCTGGAGGGTGGCTACTTTTGTTCCCCAGGGCCCTGTTTGTGTTGTAAAGTAGCCACTGCACCAAACTTGCTCACATGATGGACTACAATCTCAAGTTCAGTTTACTAATTTGTATGGAAATGTTAAAACCGAAATAAAAAGAATTGTCAGGCCGAAACCAATACCGAAAATGTTTTTAATTTAAAAAAATTTTAATATTTAATTTTTATTAATGTTTTTTTATAAACTTTTTTTAAAAATATTTTTATTCATTCATTTTTTTATTAAATATTTTTATTTTTTACTTTTAGGGGCTTTGGGGAAATATTAGGGGTCTAAACAGACCCCTGATATTTCCTTTTTAAAATAGAAAAAGAGATTGAGAACACAATCTTTTTTTCTGCAGCCCCTGTTATCAATGAACAGGAATCCTCTGAGTGTTCCTGTTCATTCATAACATTAGAACATGGTATGTTTACTATAACTACAACTATGAATGAACAGGTCGAGAGGGGATGTAGCTCACTCTCATTCATTCATAATTGAGGATATAGTAAACATACCATGTCCTCCATTATGTACAAACACTCAGCGATCACTGAGTGTTTGTACCTTGCTCTCCTCTGAGACGCTGTCACAGGAGGCTTGAGCGAGCGGTGCAGGGAGGAGAGCTCAGCTTTCTGTGACAGGGCCTCCTGTCTCCACCCACACACCGCTCTGCAGGACTGTGATGGGAGGCTGAGCGGTGTGGGAGGAGACGCCGGCCGCTCAGTGCTCTCCTCCCGCAGCGCTCGGCCGGCTATCGCAGTTTCTCTCCTCCCCGCTGGGACACAGAGCAGCGCCCAGGGGGGAGGAAAGAAATCAGGGATGCGCGGATGTATCGGCAAGAAAATGGCACTTTCGGCATTATGCCAAAAAAGCAATTTTCGGCCGATATGTTTCAGCGTCCGAAAAGGGTCGACAGGAGTCGGTGGCAAGGGGTTAAAAAGCCATTTGTACACAAAGAGATGAGAAACAAAAATAACACCACTGCTCTGGCCAGCCATGCTTCTGGGAAGCAGGGGTGATGTCATCGTGCCTCACTGCTTCCTCCTGGGATAGCAGGGCTCTCAAAATCCTGCAAGAATGTACTCTTGCAATGGGCTGGAGTGCATTATCATGGGATTTTAAACTTCCAGCTCTGCAGCAAGGCATGTGCCACCTGTGCCGGCTGGAAGCATTGGAGGCCGAGGTAAGTTGTGGAGTTTATTTATTTTCACTGGCGGGGGTGCTTGCAAAAGACCTTGCAGACCTTTCTGTCCTAGAAGCTCCCCTGTAGTATTGGGTGTTATTAGGAGCAATGCTTTTGTATGGTAATCTATGATAAAGCGAGCGTAGTGCAACCATTCTCCTGTCCCAGCACACTCAGGGCTGGGGGTCCATGAGCAGAATCTTTCTAGTATTGCCAGGTATTTGAGCAGGTTCATACTTTATCCAGGTTCTGTGAGCCTTATCCAGGACTCTGTTATATTGTCCATTTCCTATATTATTTGGTGATATTTTGTATTTCTTTTATCAAATATATTTTTAGAACTGAAAACTTCCATACTCAACTAATGGAAGCCTGGACTGTGAGAAATCTACAGACTGACATTGCTGACTACTTTCTGAAAATGCTGGATGCCTGGCTGTTTTAGGCTTCACTACTTTGAGCTAATGACCAAAAATAAGCTTTCAGCCTGTGGAGGCAGAACTTCATTATCTGCATACTTGTTGGTCAGTGACTTGCAAAAGCTTTTTAAGCCATTTGGCTAACTGCCAGGCATCAAGCATCTTCAGCAGGATATATCAGCCACGGCTGCCCCTATTTCTTTTACTATAGGTTTCTCTAAGGACCTGTTCAAACTAGCCCATCAGAAACTAGCTAAAACAGAATGCAGGCATGCCATAGACAACAACTTCATTGTAGTGTGAGCAAGGCACATAGAAAACGGTTGTTTTCTACGTGCCCTAGCAGTGACTGGCATTGTTCAGTTGGTTAAACAAAATGGCAGTCAGCCCATCTTTTGTGAATGGATCTCAAAAGGATACTATACGTACATTTCCATGGCTGTTTAAGCAAGGGAAAATGTTTCAGTTATGATCGAGGAAAAAAATCATTAAAGCTTTCAGAAAATTCCTAGAACCAAATATTGACTCCATTAGGAAAATGATAGCTGAAGTTGGATTTTAGACATTGAACGCTCTTGCTTATTGCTTTCTGTAACTCTAGCATAGACATCTTCCACTCTCCCTGATCCAGCACTGAGAGGGGTTGTTTTTGTGAAGGATTCTCATTAAAAGGAACAGTGCTCTCAGATAAAGTGTTTATTACTGAAGGCACCAAGCTCAATGGGCTGCAAGAAACAAAATTGGAAAAGGAAGCACCACTACCTGGCGCAAAAAAAGTGGTGGAGCAAGGTTTGTATAAAAGTAATGCCCAGTGAGGCTGTGTCTGTCGGGAGCTTGCTTCGGAGGTGGGTTGTTTGAGTATTGCGGCGTGAGCCGTAAATGATGGTCCGATGGTGAGGTGGAGCACGGTGTGTGGGAAGGGTTGCCCACACCGTGCCCGTGGAGGGATAGAGTGTTAGGAACACTCAAAACAGTCCAATGAGATCAAGTTTAGGCTGGCAGCCGCTCTACTTCATCTTGACTGTTACAAGCAAGCGCTCACCCAGCCACAGGTGAGTACATCACTTTTATACAAACCTTGCTCCACCACATTTATTGCGCCAGGTAGTGGTGCTTCCGTTTCCAATTTTGTTTCTTGCAGCACACACGTCGGACACCCCGGTCCGAACATAATGGAAGCCACACACCCGCAAAAGACCCCCCTCCCACATAAACTTTTCCAAACCTCTCACGCTTTAGTCACAACGCTTTCAGCCACAACCGGTGCACCCACCAAGTACAACCGGTTGTCTCCCTTTTCCTCCCCCGCCCCTGATTAGCGCTACACGCGCCCAGTTTACAATCCCGCCCAGTTTTTCGGCAGTGGAATATGTGACCTGGCAAAAGAAGAGTTCCAAGGCTTTCTCACTGTTTTAGGTCAGGTCGGCATCGCAAATCGTATGTTTGCAGGGGAACCGATCTGCCCTGGAACAGCTGATTGGTCCTGAAATGTCACTTCTATCTGACTTTGTGGAATGAAAGATCGCATTCAGAGAGTCGTATAGAAGTGACATTTCAGGACCAATCAGCTGTTCCAGGGCTGATCGGTTCTCCTGGACATACTATCTGGGATGCTGATCTGCCCTGAAATAGCTGAGAAAGCATTAGAATTCTTCATCTTTTACCGGTCACGTATTCCAACACGGAAAAAGTGGCCGTGATTACGTTAAAACGTGACTACGTGACCGGTCACACATTCCGACCCAGTCACAATCTTTGATACAGCAGCATCCTCCTGATGCCTAAACTTTGAACAGTGTACACACCTATTCTTTCGACAAAAGTCCATCTTTCAGTCGACATTTGTTGAGGTAGCCAGGCTTAAACTTGTTGGCAAAACAGTGACTGCAACTAATCCTCTTCAGTCACTGTTCGGGTATTCTGACAGCTGCAGGCTCTGGCTATCAGAATACAATAGCCGTCAGGGAAGATTCCTCCATAGCCACTGTTTAGTGTAGATGAGGAAATTGCGCCTGTTTTCTTGTTCAGCCTGCGGGGTTGAAAAACAAAATGCTGAGTGTATGACCAGGTTTACTGGAGTAACTGGAATTGTATGCATACAGGCTTTATATACTGGATTCCCATGCTGTCATTCTGTAATTATAGTGTTTACACTCAGAAAAAAGTGTACAATGTATAAAAATGAATTAAAGCTGATTAGTAATTGTGTGAAATCCTGCTGGGAGGTGACTATATAGTATAGTTTGCCATGGAAGAAAAAAGATGCTGGAATATTCTCTTTTGATCGGGGTGTATTGGAAACACCCTTGGGGGATTAGTGCAGTCAGATGACTGTCTGCTGACTACTTTCCAGGCTGGGTTATAGTCTTCCTTACTCAGTCATTGCCTGCCTTCTGGAAGATTGCAAGTTCTGGAAGCGGCCAGCTCCATCCGTATAACTGCATGACCAATTTGTCTGCTTTGGTCACTTCATACAGCATCTGCCCTGGTCGTTTACTTTACTTTGCATGCAGCTTTAAGAAATGGAAACTAGACGGGATAATTGCAGTAAGTGGGGTTTTTTTTAATGTTAGGAGCACTCTGTTTTCACTTTGTATTGTCATTGTGTCACACTACTGACACTAAACTTTAACCAGTTCCTTCTGGAGGGTGGCTACTATGGTTCCCCATGGTCCCTGTGTGTGTTGTAAAGTAGCCACCACTCCAAGCTCACTCCTGTGATGGACTACAATCTCATGTTTAGCTGACTAATTTGTAGATTGTAGTCCAACACAGGAGTGAGCTTGGAGCGGTGACTACTTTACAACACACACAGGGACCATGGGGAACAAAAATAGCCCTCCTCCAGAAGGAAGGACAGTATCGGCATTAATTCAGAGATGATTTGAGGATCACAGTGACCATGGAGAACAAAAGTAGTCACCCTCCAGAAGGAAGGACAGTGTTCGCACCAATTCAGAGATGATTTGAGGATCTACAGCTGAGTGATACACAAATAAGATATATTTTTCTTAATAGGTAAAGTACTTGAATGCATTTATAAGATTTAACTCCTGAATTTAGTGTCACTTTAAACAGGACATACAACATTAATTTACTTGTGGGGAGATTTACAAATAGTGTTTATTCTTCCCATCTTTTTATCATTGAGGTTGTTTCTTAAGCATGATGTAATAATGTATGCTAAGCACATGATACATTTTTGAGTTTAGCATATTACATTATGTTCAAAGCTAAATCTTCTATGTATTGTATCCAACATTGGGGTAAAACTAGCTTGTATAGAGGTCAGATTCTCTATCATTTGTACCTGTACCCCAGGAAGAAATTCATGCAGGCTCTAGATTTACTTCTGCATAGTTATCTAAACCCGTTGCAACTCATTGTGGGGGATTAACAAAGAGTGGTGCACCCCATAAGTTTTTATATGGCTGCTCAATTAGTCAATTAGCTCAATGTTGGTCACTATGTCGCCCTGAGGAAGGGACCCTGCGTGGCCCCAAAACGTTGGCTTTTCTGATACATGTGATATAAATAAATGATCACTAAGATCTAAAACGACATTTTCCACTGGTGATTTTCCACTTCTCTGCTCAATTAGGACTTCCTGCGACAGATTAAAAAAAGTGGGGCACGCTAATTTTCTTCCCCCCAATTTGAGTTCACTTACTCTGGTAATCTTCCACTGGTATCATTCTAAATGTCTCCTATCCTTTCTGCATTGCTGCAGTTTGCTGGCCATCCATACACATCCTCTCCTCTCCTTGCTATAGTGTTGGTCATATTTCGTCCCTCTTCACTACAGTATTTACACCAGTGACATGCCGTGCCTTCTGTGCTGGGTGAGGCATTCCCCAGCACAGAAGGCACGGCATGTCACTGACAAGCACGGCATGCATGCATGCATGCATGCTGACATGAACGGCATGAAGCCTCACCCCCGTATCGCTAACCAAGCTTATGTGGGGAGGAGGAAGGGAGGAGCCTCCCTGTCCCTCACTTGCTCGTCACAGGTGAGGCATCGAGATCGATGTCCTTACTGTTTTTTTTTTTTTGTTTTTTTGATCGTACAGCTTGGACCAATTACGCTTTTGCCATTGGTCCGAGCAATCCACAGAGCTCACGTCTCTAACACAGAGTAGAGACTGTGACAGCTCTTGCCTCACTGTGTTAGGTTACACAAGCAGTGGGGAAGCCAGCTGCCGTGTAACCTAACTACCTGTCAAAAGCTGGATGCAGCACCACCTGTAATTAACAGGCAGCTCTCCATCCGTGACAGGTTACACAGCGTAGAGGCTTTCCCTGCTGTGTAACCTGATAAAAGCCAATCTGAATGGAGAAAAAGCTGTTGGCTTCAGACTTGAAGCCGACACTTTTTTCTTCATAATACTAAGTGAGGCTCTGCCTCACCTGCCTCCCCTCCTGACTGCACATCCCTGATTTACACCACTGTATGGTTGTGTATTTTAGAACTGTTTTTTTAATGATAACATTGGTGCAAGGAGTATTATTGTTTTTGTCCATTAGGTGTGTTGGCAGCCTCTTGGACCAGTATGGGAAAGAAGGGGGGTGGCAACAGTACTGCCGTGCAATAATAATGTGCTTTGGGTTGTCAGGATGCTGAGGCACTCTGGCAATAAAATAAAGAGGAATTCATGCTCCTATAAGTATCTCTTTGTTGCCATGCATACACATTACTGATTACATACCGGGCATTTGTTTGATATTGCAATGTGAACGGCTGCTGTCGGATTGCCACTTCTAGCTACCCTTTTTACAGCCTAGGCATTTTCAGCAATAATTTACCCAGTAAATCACATGGCCACCTATGTCATACTGGATTTCCAGGACTATTGTATGCTAAAGAATATTGTTTGCCATAAAAGTGAAAAGTACCACAGTAGCCTAAAAGCAAATGTATGGACATTGGGAGCAGGTATGCACAGGTATGAGATTTGCTGGCTTGTATCATTTGTGTGCAGCCTTTACATTCAAGAAGAGGATGCCAGTCAAAGATGATGCATATTGTAGGGTAGCTCTGGTATTGGTGGAGAGAGGAGCAAGGCTGGCATTTGGCAAGGGAGAAGCAATCCTTCATTCTATTATAATCAGATGAAATGTTCCCTAGGGTTACCACATTGCAATGTGTTCACCTCTTTAATCAGTACAACACTTATTTCTATTAACTTGGTTAAAGTTTTTGACTCCTACATACTCATTTTGTCATTTTCTTCTTTGTTCTAGCTCTGATCAGCCTCTCATTTGGAGGAGCAATCGGTCTGATGTTTCTGATGCTTGGCTGTGCATTGCCACGTTATAAGTAGGTTTAACATTCCTTGTCTGTTAGTGGTGGTTACACAAGCTGATCACTTCATTGTCCATGTAAACAGGCATCCTAATAACAGCATTATAGAAAATGGCTATTTAACCCATTTCTATAATGCTGTTAACTGTATGATCTGCTTTTTTGTGCAGTAATCCGTATCAACTAATTTAGATTTCATCTCTCAGTTGTTAAGAACAACCAAAGGTTTTTGCAAATTGATTATATAAGTTATTTGTATGCATCCTTCTTCTTTTTTTTTTTTTTCTCTCTCTTTTCTCAGTATGAGGCACTTTGATGCATTGTTATTTACCAAGTTCTTCATTCAGACAGTGTCCAAATAGATTTCTTATGGCAGTATTTGATTAACCTTCTTATAAAAGAATCAGTTGATATACAATGAATTACTTGTTTTGGAGACTAATATTTGTTTCTTTCTCCTATATAGTGAATATTGGCCATTGTTTGTTCTGTTTTTCTACATACTGGCCCCTATTCCATACTGCATTGCAAGGAGAGCAGTAGATGATACTGATGCTGCCAGCAATGCCTGCAAGGAACTGGCCATATTTCTTACTACAGGAATAGTTGTCTCTGCATTTGGACTGCCAATTGTATTTGCTCGTGCAGCAGTGGTGAGTCAAAATCTTAGCATATCTTGGAAGAATAGGGATGTATTCTTTTGTCACTTGTGTGTCCCTATTTCCCATCACTTCTGGTCTGGGTGTCAGAGAGAACAAGAAATAAGATAACATTTTCTCAAAGGGGACACCGACAACATTTGAAACCCAGCAGAACTATCCCCTACTTTATTGCAAACTTAAGCTGACATTATATTTTTTAGGTTTTGCTTTATCGGGTGAGGGCCTTTCACACTTGCTAAAACACTGCACTAAC